AAAAAAAAAATAAACGATCTTTTTCATATTTGTATTAACCGAAGTAATCACCCATGCAATCAATGCATCTTTGCCAACGCAGTGGTAGTTTATTGATGCCCTTCTTAAAGAAATCAGCTGGACAGAAGACAACAAATTATTTAATGTCGTTGATGTTACGTGCCGTGCCGGTGATGTTTTGTGCTGCGCTGCTGCCACGACGATACGCATATTCCATAATTACTCGATTTGAACGCGATGAAAATGTACCACTATAACTAATCAAATAACAAATGGCAAGTTTTGAAAAAAGAATTCTATGATTTTAAAATAAAGTTAATTTGTAATTAGAATTCTATTATTTTGATTTGAAATGGCCAGTACTGCAGAACGGCCATGTCATAGGTGAAGACCTAAAAGTGAAGCGGCTGAAAAGCCGGTCTAAGAATGTAATTGTTAGAAATTAAACTTGAAAGTATTTGCTTTGATTGTAAAGAGATACATTTAAAAATGTATGTATAAATGAGTTATTCTTAACTGCGATATTCCTGAACACATTCCCTAGGAAAAAACATTAATATTAATCAGTGACTTAGAGAAATAGAAACCTAATAAGACATTGTGGAACAGACTAAGAATATATTCTATTTTTTTTTGTAACTGCACGTCTTTTATCCCTAATGAGGTAGGCGGAGGTGCATGTAATGGCATATAATACCATATATATAATGTGTACCTTGACTGCCTCGTTGGCCGAGTGTTCGCAAGTATGATTGCTGGACAACTCTGGAATTGTACTCGGTATATGGCAATAGGCTCACCATCTATTACATGGGACTTATAACATAAATAGTGTAAAGTGGGTGTTACTTTGTACAGTGGCATTAAGTGCCGTAATGTACACCTCTGCCGACCCCTTCGGAGATAAAAGGCGTGATGTTATGTTATGTTACAATGTATATCCGTTTTAAACCAGTTATGTTACGAGTCCTATGTAGAGGTAAGGGGAAGGGCAGCCTATTGCCATTATTGACTTGACTTAATATTCTGTGTCCCTTAGATGGGTCAGAGGGTGTCCACAGAAATTCTCACATATACCGGACACGTTACCAGACTCCGTGTTATTAATGAGAAATTTTCAAAAACTTGATAAATATCCCAAAAGCTATTCTCGACCGGAATCACCGGCCTTTTACACTGTTGAGTCTATTTCATTTTCGTCCCAAAGTAAAATGGTTCTGTCTTGGTAATACAATAGAATTACAAAGAAAGAAAATGTTTAAAACATAAAATAACTGGTGAACCATTGCAAATAGCAAACTTTGAAAGCGAAAAACTCATAGTACATTATTAAACTATCGCGCCATGTAATTCTCGAAGAGATATTCCTCGTCGGGTGCCACGTGCAATACGAATAATGCCTACTTTACGTTTAATGTTTCATGCGCGTATTTTCATGAAATTTGTTTTTAACTATACAAAATGGCATCTTTATTATTTTACTTTATACATTTTTACTTTATACATCGAAAGTACTCCTTATGTCAAGTTTTCGTGCCGCGAAACAAAAACGAATTAGATTTCACGGGGTATAGCCGCGACCAACGCGAGTCCGACCTGGGAGGCTGGGAATCGAGCTTGTGACGTATATATTTTCAACTACGGCATGTAAATATATTGAAATGGTTAAATTTGTGACTATGGAATACGTTTTATACTCATACATATTAAGTAACTTGTAACAACAGAAGCGTTGTTCTACTGTTTTGCTGAGTGAGTCAGATTACCGGAGATAATAACTAGTTTAAAAGGACAATAACGCGGATCACAAAAATATGTCTATGACGTTAGAATGACGGAAGTTGTATTTGGATCAGGTGTTGATGTTCTAGTTTATTTCTATACCCCGTATTGTTGAATTTCACGTAAAATTATAAATAAAATAAGACTTTGCTTTAATTAGAAGAAAATTAAGAAAAAGAAATGTTATTTTATTTATTGTTCTAGTTTTTGTTGTTGAACTGGATAATTTCTCACATAAACCATTTGACTTTGGTGCACAAATATATATAGGTCAGCTGATCTGTTTTTATTACTGCAAGCAAAAGCGTGACCAAAACTTATTTTGTCATATTTCCCGCGTCGTTGTGATTGAAACCGAATTTGAATTATTTTCAAGTTTTTATACAACTAGCTGTGACCTGTTCTCTCCGTCGTCATCAAAGATTTAGTATAAAATTATTCGTTATTAGAACACAGATATCAGTACAATCTGAAAATCAATACAATGAAATTCGTAAGTTGATTAAACAATTTTATTTAATTTTTCATTAATTTTTTCACATATGAATATACACATATATATATATTTATATCCAGTTTTTGTGCTTTTTAATCTGTTTTGTCTCAGAGATCTATCGATCTGCTAGTGTTTGTGTCTATAACGTAATGGTTGTATGGACAGTAGTGTATCAGGAATGTAATAAGTATTTTTCTTCCCCAGTTTGCCTTCATCACATTGTTCGTGTGCGCCATGTTGGCTTTGGTCAGCGGTGGTGAAGTGTACTACAGACAGGTGCGCAGCCCAGTGCCTGTCGAGGACCATTTCGGATTAGGCTACGGATACCACGTACGGAAAGTTGGCCACTAACTAACTCGCCGGTTTATGCACTACATTAGGCTTTTTTTATGGTTTTGCAACTAAGTTATTGAAAAAATTATGCACTAGTAGTAATGTTTTGAAAAATAAGCAGTTTCACAAAAATATTGATTTTAACACTGTCAATTTAAAAAGAACACAAAATAATAAATAAACAAAAAATCTTCATTGTTTTAATATCTGGTGTTTCCTCCCCTAGCCCTGATAACAGCTTGCATTCGTTCTGGCATGCTTTGGATGATGTTTCTGATTTCAACTTTGCTTTCCCAAGCGGTCAATGCTGTATTTCGAAGTTAATTCAGAGTTTCAGGCGGGTTGGAGGAAGACTTTATTTTTTTTTAAGCATGTCCCAGATATGCTCTGTTGGATTTAAGTCTGGACTACGAGCTGGCCACTGCAATTTTAACTCGCTCCCGATCATCTGGATCTCGTAAAGCGATTCGACACTTATCTGTGAACAGTACTCGAGCCCACTGCTCATGGGTCCATTTGACGTGCTCTCGTGCGAATCGTAGTCGAGCTACTCGGTGACTTCTGAGAAGTTCTGGGGCACGTGCTTTTAAATTCGCTTCCTCTCATCTCACTGTACGTTCACTAACATTGACACCTCTTGTGAACTGAAGTCGCCGGCGTATCTCAACAGCGGTGAGGTAGCGGTTTCTCAAAATTTCTAGGACAATAAAGCGATCATCCCTGGCTGATGTGCATCTGACACCTCCGCTGCCTGGTCTGCGGGAGTAGCGGCTTGTCTCCTGGTATCGTTTCAGCGCATACTGCATCGATGAACGTAGTACATTCAGAATTACAGCAACTTCTCGCTGTGTCAGCCCTTGTTCGATCAATGCTACAGCTTGTGCAACCTGTGATGGTGTTGATGGCATTTTTATTGGAATTAAATCACCTATACTTATTGAAGAAACAGTACGATATGACAATAACTGAATAACCTAACAATAAACTTTCACAAAACACAAATATAAAACAGCAACTTAGTCGGTCAGATGACCGGCTTCAACTAAAACTTAAAAATAACATCATATTGCACTGAAACGTGATAAATTACCCTCTTGAACTAAAGGTAAACATTTTTAGACCTTCATAATAAATAATCATAGGAAACACTTAAGGCTCTTGTTATCGCGAAATACGCACTTGGCCAAGATTCCATGCCGGTGAGTGTATAAGGAAATGATTGGCTATTGATTGATTAAAAGGTTCATTATGCTTACGATTGGGATATTGTTTAGTATGAGGAATAATAATAAAATATTTTGTAGTTAATTTAATGGTTTTACTGTCCTCTATATGATATGTCTGTTTACATCACTGTAACTTTGTTCAGTAACATCTGTCTGTAACATCTTGTCGAATTGAACCAGATTTTTCTTCTTTGTTTTTAGCCTGCTCCCATTATACCTGGGATCGGCACAAAAGTTTAGTAGAATTGTTGATAGGTTTTTGGGTTGCAGACTATCACACGTCACAGGGTGACAGAACCTGTCGAATAGGGCCAATTTATCAAAATGCTTATAAATGCAAACGGACAAATATCCAACATCTAAAAACTTTAATCTGAAGCTGTAACTTCTAGTATGTATCCAAAATTGACAGACCAAAAGGAGAATATTATGTTAAGTAGATCTAACAACAACTGCAGCGGGATGACCTTTGGTAAGTAAAAGTGGAGGGACACCGTGAGGCGGCCACCTCCTCCACCACCACTGCATGAGGATCACGACCACTCTTTTAACAGTGAAGCGGCTGAAAAGAAGATCTAAGAATGTAATTGTCAAAAATTTACCTTGAAAGTACTTGCTTTGATTGTGAAGAGATAAATTTAAAAATGTATGTTTAAATAAGTTATTCTTAACTGACACACATCTAAACACAATTCCTATGGAAAATAAATACATCACTATCATTGTCAGTGACTTGAAAAATAGAAGCTTAATGCGAAATTGTGCAACAGACTCTTAGAATATAATTATGTATTTTTTACAATGTTACGTCTTTTATCCCAGATGGGGTAGGCAGATAAAGAGATATAATGGCCATATATACAATTTATACCTGCTTTTAACCAGTTATGTTACGAGTTCCATGTATGGGGAACCTATTGCCATGATTGACTTGACTTAATATTCTGTGTCCCTTAGATGGGTCAGAGGGTGTCCACAGAAATTCTCACATATACCGGATACTGTAGCTATACCAATACTGCAGGCAAAACTGATATACATTATGCATAAAGAATGAAATGCTAAATAAAAATATAAATTTATGTATTTTCCGCAACGTCGTGGCTGTTACTGAAGATGATTTAATAATTAAACTGGCTTCTGACCTGTTTTCCATCGTCATCAAAGATTTAGTATAAAAAGGTGCATCCATGCAATTTCGATATCAGTTCGATTGGAAAATTGGAACAATGAAATTCGTAAGTATTCAAGTGTGGGAGAGCCATGCTTCGGCATGAATGGGCCGGCTCGACCGGGGTGTAGTGGACCTACACGGCCTCACAGAAAGCCGACGTGAAACAACGCTTGCGTTGTGATTCGTCATGTGAGAGAGGTTACCGGATGCCCTATTACCCGCCCTCCTCAATCTTCCCAATCCTTGAATCCTCAAATTCCTAATCCCTAAAAACCCGGTAACGCACTTGTAATACCACTACGTATCGAGTGTCCATGGGCGGCGCTGAATGCTTACCATCAGGTGACCTGTCTGCTCGTTTACCGGTTTATCCCAATAGAAAAAAAGTCATTTTAATCACTATTCTTTTGGTCGTGTTTTTGCTAAAGAATGTTAATTATTAAAATATAATATCAAAATGCGACTCAGTGTTTGATAGTGAACGTGGTAACATAATATTATGTTTGTTAATACATTGAGCCTTAGTCAAATAGCATGTTATAATTCACTTGAAACATGTGATGGTTTGGTTCAATACTCGAATGGTTTTTGCATTTCGATTCATACAGAAAATGATTTTACTCAATTAAATAATGTTTGTAATGTCAGGGATGTAATAAGTGTTTCTCTTCCTCAGTTTGCCTTCATCACTTTGTTCGTGTGCGCCATGTTGGCTCTGGTCAGCGGTGGTGAAGTGTACTACAGACAGGTGCGCAGCCCAGTGCCTGTCGAGGACGCAGCGCCAGCACCAGGCCCCCACCACCACCACCACCACCACCACCATTACGGATATGGCTACGGATACCACTGATATGTTGAAATGATATCACGATTATGATTTTTTGAATATTTTTAGACCTGGATTAACGTTAATGCCTACCTATGTACATATTAAAATTTTTAATTATATATAGGTGGATGTCTTAATCTATAAACTATCAATTACTTCCACGCTAATTTATATGGTTTACATTTTTTTTTGTGTAAATCAAACTGCCTCGTTGGCCGAGTGGTCACAAGTGCTACTGCCGGGTTTAGGGTTCGATTACCGGACCGGGCAAAGTATAAATGGGTTTTACAAAAAATCTCAGTAGTAGCACGGTGTCGGGAATTGTGTCCGGTATATGGCAATAGGCTCACCCCCTAGTACAAGGGAATCATAATCAATAGTGAAAAATAGGAATTACATTATTTACAGACAGACATACATTATATAATTAGTAAATAGGAATTTGTTTTAATTTTTTTAACATGGGAGGTAAAAGTCAAATCAGAAAGCCTTTGTAAGTAGCATTTCAAATATTTCAATGTAAACATTTAGTCCGTAAGAAGTGTTGTATGGTTGAGTAGTAAGCCAACAATATTCTCTTGTGCGGATAAACTCTGATAAAAGCAAAGAAAAAATGAAAAACATATTTATATTAATTCATATTTGTAGCGATATTCAACCAGCATTTATTGTTCAATCTATTACAATCATTTAGACACGAGCCGAGCTAAATAAAGATAATAAGTACCTCTATATGTGATTTCGTAATGTCGATGAATTTCGAAAACTGCCTCAACTGCTGGATGTAATGCGGTTTCTAAATCAAGTTTTAATCTTAATATAGTTACGGATATGTGTTTATTATATAATGATATAAAAAAAAAACACGTGTAAAGCTCTATCGTTTAAATACTAATGCGTTAGTGAGCGGTCTGTCTTTTCTCATACTTTGGCACTTAGACCGTCGACCCTAGCCGCGGAAGACTTAACGGGTTGCCGGGGCTCCGGCTCGAAGTGCAGGAGTAGGAACGGGGTAGTTTTTTGTCAATAAGAGTCTGACACTCCCTCTCGCCTCACCCGGGCAGGAGAAGCCATTGGGTGATTTTCCCCCCTCAATAAAAAAAAAATACCGTCGATCCTCTTTCAGTAACCTGTAGCATAAATGTAAGTAGTTGAATTTTTTTAAGAGTCGGCAAATGAGATGTTATGTAATAGGCACCGCCCACGGATATTCGCAAGCTCCCAATATCAATGTAGGAGTTATAACTTGGGAAAATAAGCGTAATTAGAATAAGAATCTCGGAATGTGTTAACTTACTTTGACTTAATATCCTGTGTCCCCTAGATGGGGCAGAGGGCGTCCACTGAAGTTCTCCATCGCGATCTGTCTTGAGCTTCACGCTTCACCTCACTCCACGTCATACCGATGCTCGTCGCTTCTGCCAGTACGGTGCAACGCCAGGTTTTCCGAGGACGGCCACGCTTTCTTTTCCCTTGGGGATTCAAATCCAAGGCTTGCTTGGGTATGTGGTTAGAATCCCTTCGGAGCGTGTGCCCTATCCATCCCCACTTGTGGCGCTTGATCTGGCAGTCGATTGGGCTTTCGTGGCATTTCTCCAAAAGCTCTACGTTGGAGATGGTCTCGGGCCAGTAAATTCCGAGAATGCGACGCAGGCATCGGTTAACGAAGACTTGAAGTTGGCGTGAGATGTCTTTAGTCACCTTCCACGTTTCGCACCCATAGAGAAGAACGGATTTTACATTGGACCCGAAGACTTTCAGTTTTATCCTTCGGGTCAGTTTCCGTGACTGCCACACAGGTCTCAGCTGCGCGAAAGTAGCTCGGGCTTTGGCGATCCTTGAAGTGATGTCCTCTTCAGTACCTCCAGTCTCTGACACGACGCTCCCGAGGTAGGAAAATTTGTGGACACGTTCCACTGCCTCTGTGCTAATCAGCAACGGTGTAGTATTCTTCACACCCGTTCTAATTTCTTTGGTCTTTCGGGTGTTAATTCTCAGGCCAGCTTTTGCCGCCTCCTGCCGCAGGTCGTCCAATTTTGCTTGCATGTCGGCGTGGGAATGACTCAGCAGGCATAGGTCATCGGCGTAATCCAAATCTTCCAAGCAGTTGGATAATCCCCACTCTATGCCGCGGCGCCGATTGTCAGTGATGCGAAGCATGATCCCATCCAGAACGACTAAGAAGAGAAGCGGTGATAAGAGGCAGCCTTGTCTGATACCACTATGTCATCGGAGATAAGACCGTCATGTGTCACTTTACAGGAATACGTCCTATACATACTCTCCAACAGCCGGACGATCTTTGGCGGAACCCCTATGTCCAGACGGGACCAGATGCTAGACCACTTCAACGTATCAAAGGCCTTTTCGAAGTCGACAAAGGTAAGATAAATCTCCCTTTGCCATTCTGTTGCCTGCTCTAGAATGATACGAAGAGTGTTGATCTGGTCCGTACATGAACGGTTTGATCGGAAACCTGCCTGCTCCCTTCGTAAATGAGGATCCACGGCCTTTGACAGCCTATCCAGGAGGATTTTGCAGAAAACTTTTGCGGGAATAGAGAGCAGTGTAATTCCTCTCTAGTTATCGCACAGACTAAGATCTCCTTTCAAAATGTGTTAGTCGTCTGAAAATTTATGAAAGTTCATAATTTTGATTACATAATATTTGTGTCCCTACTTATCGTAGGCCGTCTATAATTCGTTCCCTCAAGTGCTCCGCATACCTTCCAGCTTCTTTCGGATAGCCAGTTCCTCTGACATCATAGCCTGAACTGAAGCCAGGTACCGTTGTGTGTTGTTCGTGTGTTCCTTACAGTGACGACTCCTGGAAGTTGTCTCCTGCTGAATCCTTATGGTACCTTATAAACTAATTAAAAAAAACACGTGTAAAGCTCTATCGTTTAAATACTAATGCGTTAGTGAGCGGTCTGTCTTTTCTCATACTTTGGCACTTAGACCGTCGACCCTAGCCGCGGAAGACTTAACGGGTTGCCGGGGCTCCGGCTCGAAGTGCAGGAGTAGGAATGGGGTGGTTTTTTGTCAATAAGAGTCTGACACTCCCTCTCGCCTCACCCGGGCGGGAGAAGCCATTGGGTGATTTTCCCCCCTCAATAAAAAAAAATACCGTCGATCCTCTTTCAGTAACTTGTAGCATAAATGTAAGTAGTTGAATTTTTTTAAGGGTTGGCAAATGAGATGTTATGTAATAGGCACCGCCCACGGATACTCGCAAGCTCCCAATATCAATGTAGGAGTTATAACTTGGGAAAATAAGCGTAATTAGAATAAGAATCTCGGAATGTGTTAGTCGTCTGAAAATTTATGAAAGGTCTTAATTTTGATTACATAATATTTGTGTCCCTACTTATCGTAGGCCGTCTATAATTCGTTCCCTCAAGTGCTCCGCATACCTTCCAGCTTCTTTCGGATAGCCAGTTCCTCTGACATCATAGCCTGAACTGAAGCCAGGTACCGTTGTGTGTTGTTCGTGTGTTCCTTACAGTGACGACTCCTGGAAGTTTTCTCCTACTGAATCCAAAACTGGTACCTTATGAACTAATGGCAAGCCTGGCGCTCCCCAACTTTTACAAAAAAAAACATTGGAATTTTTAGATACTAATACGAAATTGGATGAAATCGCAAATAAGGATAAAGTCACAACATTATTAATTTTATTAGGATTATTGGTACAGTCGAAACCGCAGGAAAAAGATCTAATATAAATATTGTCTCCTATGATTTATACTTAAACTGATTTATTTTCATACCGGGATGAAAACATACATAATATATATATTTTTTTCCTTTTATAATGTGAATAAAATGTAAATATTATAACAAAAATAGAATTAAAATATTTCTCTTGTTTTTTGGCTGTGACCAGTTTTTCCGCTATCACCAAGATTTAGTATAAAATGGGGTGTCACTGTAATACAGACATCAGTTCAATTTCAATATTGGAACCATGAAATTCGTAAGTATTTGACCGTTTTTACTTATTTGTTAGACTTTAGCTTTAGTCGTATTATAAAAAAGAATTGAAAATAAACAAATAAAGTAATTTAATTATTTTAAGGAATGTTCTAATAAATGTTTCTCTTCCCCAGTTGGCTCTCTTCACGTTGTTCGTGTGCGCCATCTTGGCTCTGGCCAGTGGACAGCAGTTGGTCCGACAAGTGCGCAGTCGAGTGCCTATTGATGACTTCCCAGCACCAGGCTACGTAATTAGTAAACAAGCATTAAAATATCATTTCTAATTGATTTGGTGTTGTTTTTGCTTTTTATGTTGAAGATTTTGCGCTAGTTTTCTGAAATTCATTGAGACTATGAAAATGTAGCATTTTCTTTTATCATTATTTGTTAAAACCTTCAAAAGTCATTCATAACACAATAAGCATCTATTGCATTTCGAATAAAATGTAAGATGTTAATTCGATATATGCAGATCGATTTTCGGTATTAGTTCATTCTATCTTTCTCTTGTTTATAGAGTATGTAGTTACACATTGGACCACCTTGTGGGAACCCTAAACTTGATTTACAGTTAATAATAACATTGTTTTTGTGATTACAACACGTTTCTGTTTGAATTAGAAATAAACTAAATAACCATTAATACGTTCTATAACATACACTAAGCATTAAACTGCTTAATATGAAGTTAATTGTATTGTTGGTTAGATATGTATTGTTTATAAACATTGAATTACAGTTGATCAAAATATAGAATTTTTACATGCATAATGTTTACTCCTTATTTACCAACCTCAAGCTATGTTTGTTTTATAACTATCCTGAGACATGTTAAATTAATTATTATAGAAATATATGTAAAACAAGACGTGTTCCTCGTCAAACAGTTACATGAGTAGGCTGTATAATGTATTAATTAATCGACCTCAAGCTGTACTCTACTGAGGAGACTTCGAAGAACCCACTACCCTTTGAAAGTGGAAAATTGCCACTAGGAAAAAGTTGATTGAATAAACAGCAGTTCTGGCAACAGATTGGTGCAATGGTGTCTTGCCCTGGTTTTGCACCCTTGTGTTCCCTTCAACGGCCAAGTCACACAACATTAACTATAATAATAAAGAAATCTCAGTAAGGAACCTTAGACTTGACACGAAATTGTCTAGGTTTCATTACTTTTTAGAAATGAACAAGCGGCTCAATATCCAGGGGTAAAGTACATATTTTTCAAACGCTTTGTAAAGCAATGAAATCGCCCCGCACGCACCACGCATGCGCCACTATTCCTTAAATCTTGGTTGCTAGTTGTGACGTCACAAAAGTAATGTACCAATAGTATGCACCGCGCATGCGTGAAGTTCACGACCATAGTCACGGTACAGAATAACCATTCATAATTATATTACACGATTCCTGTTGCTTGACAAAATGTTGGCAACTAAAAAATTAGAGGACCGTTCGTTCATCACTTGGAAAACGATCGTATTTTATTAAGAATTCTAAAACAATAAAACAGCAACAAGTTATTGTATTTTTAAAAACAATTAAATCATAAAAGGTTTTAAATTGATAAAATCTGTATATCGTAAAGTACTGATAAATGGAGTACACCAGCGCCATCTATTGAATTTTTTGTTGAAACTTCTGAACTCGTTCGATATAATGCGAATGTATTTTTATAAATGCGTATTTAACAAATATGTTTCAAGTGTTTTAATTAAAGCTTAACATTTTTACGCGTTGTCGGTTTATAGAAATTTTAAACGAGGAGTTGACTTTATTATTATAAAAGTTAAAAGGAAGTTATTGAAACTTCAAGATGTGTCCTATACATACTCTCCAACAGCCGGACGATCTTTGGCGGAACCCCTATGTCCAGACGGGACCAGATGCTAGACCACTTCAACGTATCAAAGGCCTTTTCGAAGTCGACAAAGGTAAGATAAATCTCCCTTTGCCATTCTGTTGCCTGCTCTAGAATGATACGAAGAGTGTTGATCTGGTCCGTACATGAACGGTTTGATCGGAAACCTGCCTGCTCCCTTCGTAAATGAGGATCCACGGCCTTTGACAGCCTATCCAGGAGGATTTTGCAGAAAACTTTTGCGGGAATAGAGAGCAGTGTAATTCCTCTCTAGTTATCGCACAGACTAAGATCTCCTTTCAAAATGTGTTAGTCGTCTGAAAATTTATGAAAGTTCATAATTTTGATTACATAATATTTGTGTCCCTACTTATCGTAGGCCGTCTATAATTCGTTCCCTCAAGTGCTCCGCATACCTTCCAGCTTCTTTCGGATAGCCAGTTCCTCTGACATCATAGCCTGAACTGAAGCCAGGTACCGTTGTGTGTTGTTCGTGTGTTCCTTACAGTGACGACTCCTGGAAGTTGTCTCCTGCTGAATCCTTATGGTACCTTATAAACTAATAGCGAGCCTGGCGCTTACCAACTTTTATAAAAAGAAAAAAAATCTTTGGGATTTTTAGATACTAATGCGAAATTGATGAAATCGCGAATAAGGATAAAATCATAAGATTATTAATTTTATTAGGATTATTGGTACAGTCGAAACCGCAGGAAAAAGATATAATATAAATATAGTCTCCTATGATTTATACTTAAAGTGATTTTTTTATACCGGGATGAAAACATACATAATATATATTTTTTTTTCCTTTATAATGTGAATATAATGTAAATATTATAACAAAAATAGAATTAAAATATTTCTCTTGTTTTTTGGTTGTGACCAGTTTTTCCGCTATCACCAAGATTTAATATAAAATGGGGTGTCACTGTAATACAGACATCAGTTCAATTTCAATATTGGAACAATGAAATTCGTAAGTATTTGACCTTTTTTACTTATTTGTTAGACTTTAGCTTTATTCGTATTATAGAAAAGATTTGAAAATAAAGTAATTTAATTGTTTTATGGAATCTAATAAATGTTTCTCTTCCCCAGTTGGCTTTCTTCACGTTGTTCGTGTTCGCCATCTTGGCTCTGGCCAGTGGACAGCAGTTGGTCCGACAAGTGCGCAGTGGCAGTCGCAGTGCGCCTATTGATCTACGGTACCATATTAGTAAAGAAGCATTAAAATATTATTTATAATTGATTTGGTGCTGTTTTTGCTTTTTGTGTTGGAGATTATGCGCTAGTTTTCTGAAATTCATTGAGACTATGAAAATGTAGCATTTTATTTTATTATTATTTGTTGAAACCTTGAAATGTCATTAATAACACAATAAGCATCTATTGTATTTCGAATAAAATGTAAGATGTTAATTCGATATATGCAGATCGATTATCGGTATTAGTTCATTCTATTTTTCTCTTGTTTATAGAGTATGTAGTTACAAATTGGACCACCTTGTGGGAACCCTAAACTTGATTTACAGTTAATAATAACATTGTTTTTGTGATTACAACACGTTTCTGTTTGAATTAGACATAAACTAAATAACCATTAATACGTTCTATAACATACACTAAGCATTAAACTGCTTAATATTACGTGATACTACTATATACAAGGAACAAGGTTTCAGAGATCATACATTTATTATGTAGTTAATTGTATTGTTGGTTAGATATGTACTGTTTATAAACATTGAATGACAGTTGATCAAAATATAGAATTTTTACATGCATAATGTTTACTCCTTATTTACCAACCTCAAGCTATGTTTGTTTTATAACCATCCTGAGACATGTTATATTAATTATTATAGAAATATATATACAACAAGACGTGTTCCTCGTCAAGCAGTAACACAAGTAGGCCGTATAATGTATTAATTAATCAACCTCAAGCTGTGCTCTAATAAAGAGACTTCGAAGGAACCGATACCCTTTGAAGGTGGAAAATTCCCACTAGGAAAAAGTTGATTGAATAAACAGTAGTTCTGGCGACATATTGGTGCAAAGGTCAAAGGTATCTTGCACCTAGTTTTGCACCCTTGTGTTCCCTTCAACGGCCAAGTCACACAACATTAACTATGATAATAAAGAAATCGTAGTAAGGAACCTTAGACTTGACACGACTTTGTCTAGGTTTTATTACTTTTTAGAGATGAACAAGCGGCACAATAGACAGTTTCCAGGGGTAAGGTACATACATCCCACCAAAAACATAAATGTAAAAAAGGGGAGCCAAGTTCAGCCCAAATATTATGCTTTGACGTGGGTTTCGCCGAAAAAAGAATGAAGATCTAATTGAGTGCCAAGTTCTATGCAAAATTTAAATAAGTATCTATAGAAACATAATAACGTTATGAACGAGAATCAAACTATATTTCTTTGCTTTATTGGATACCTATAATAATTGCTGTTATCTAAAAATGTGAGATCTTAAAGTAGGTTAGATTTGACTTTCATGGATTCTACATGTCCTTACGGATAAAATTTAACGTACTGTTACGAGAGTCCTTTAGGATTTCTTTTAAAAAAAAACTAATTTTATATTAAAACTATTTTAATTAGTTAAAGGACTGAGTATACAACCGTACCGTTCGGAGATCTTGTCCAGACTGAGGGGTCTGGCATGCCACCTTACACGCTAAGATATAATAATGATGATGATGCAGTTTTATGTCATCCCAGCATAAACCCTTACATATCAGGGATATAACAGTACGAAGTTTTATGTGTTTACGTTAAATAGTTTTTGAGTTATAGAGGGGTCAAAAGTGGCACGAAGTGGTTCGTGTAAAGATACACTGTGGCGCGCGCTGTTTGCTGAACTTGGCTGACGCGCGGGCGCGCGTCTCGATATTTTTCTCTAATACTTTGGTTGGGGTCTTGTAGCTTTAAACCGGGGTCACCAGGTACTCCAGATCTTTTATTATCCTAGTTTTTATAGTTTTCCCTTTATGTAGTCATTAAACTGTAACTCTGTACAAAATTTCAGCTCTCCGAGTTTATGGGAAGTCCCAGTTCTATTTTGATGATCATGAGTGAGTGAGTGAGTGTCATAAATGCGGAACTCTGCTTTGGCATAACTTTGGAACTAAATAAAATGTGAACATGAAATTTTTGGATTTTAAGTATGCGATTATAGCTTATTGGATGATGGATTTCCGCATTCTTGTCTTATCCAGAGGTTCTCAAATAGGGGCCGGAAATACGGCGAAATGGTTTCAGTAAAGGATGTTGCGGCAGTGTTTGCTTCGCATTCGACTTGGCGGGGGCACAGTCGTGCCCCCAGATTAATTAGTCATAATATTATGCTCATTCTACGGTTCGATTTTACTTGAAATAATATTATAATCCTGGAACTGCGTAGTACACTATGTAATATCGAACTCAGCAGTACAGTCCAGCAGTGGTCTGTAATGGACTAATCATGATAATGACGCGCGCGGAACGCGGGTCGCCGTACGCTCGGGTCTGGTTGTGGTCGGGCGGTGAGCTACCCATGCTCGCCGTCTGCAGGCCCGTGCTTACGGTTGAATATGGGGCCTAGGACACTTCCTAGTGGAGGGAACCCTAAACTTGAGTTACGCATTTGTTAAAATAAAATATAATTTTATATCCTTTTGTGAAAACAACACATCGCTGTAGGTTTGTCACTAACTATGTTATGAGTGCCATACACTGGGCAGCGTTCTAGGTTCCATACTGCCACTGAGTATTTTCGTATACAGTACTTTGTCCTACCCGGGAATCCAATTATCTTGTTCGGTAGTCAAAAAAGTCAAAAGTCAAAGCATTTATTTCAGTTAAACCATAATTTGGTACTTTTGAAACGTCAACAAATACAAAATAAATAATAGTTTGTCAGTCAGTCCGTCAGTGAAGCTAAGTGAAGCTAAGTGCTCATTCCAAAATGTAGATTCAAATGGAGAAGAACCATCAAGAAACTCCAATCGTTACTCTTTTTAAAAAAGTATATTCTACAATATCTGTGATACATATTCCAATACTGTACGTATATGTGAGAATAATGCAAAGACACCCTTGACGCATTATACTAATTACAAAACTTATTAAAATAAAAAAAAACAAACCAAAAAGTAATCTTATAGTCTAACATGTTGCTCTCATATGCATACTGACAATCCATAAAAATAGTGCTGCTATACAAGAAAAAGGAAACTCTTTGTTTCATTAAAGAAAGAAATGCTCGATGCCATAAGGAAATTAGACTGTCTACACTATCACAGTCGTGGTTGCAAACTTTTTTTTTGACTGCACGGTTGGTGCGGTGGCTGGGCAACCGGCTGCCATGCAACGTGTCGCGGGTTCGATTCCCGCACGGAACAACACTTTGTGTGATCCACAAATTGTTGTTTCGGGTCTGGGTGTCATTGTGTATGTGAACTTGTATGTTTGTAAACGCACCCACGACACAGGAGAAAATCCTAGTGTGGGGCAACGTTTAAAAAAAAAAAAAAAAAAAACTCTCAATCAATCACACATTTGAATTTTTAACATACATATTAATTACGATTATTAATGTAATGGATTTTTTTCTTAATTATAAGAAGATTTCTTAAGACTTAAATAATCTGTGTTGCGCCCAGGCCGTGGCACGGCCGGGGCACAGTCAATCATTATGTATATCCCGGTTATATATCTTTTATATGAAGTACCTAATTCATGCCTAAATTTAGTTCGGCCGCACGATCGGAACACGGCAAAGCCACGGTCCGGTCGCGACACGGTGTAGCGTGAGTCATCCATAATGCCTTCTTTGAATTTAGAATTGTAATTTGTGTGTTATTTCACGTCTCATATCTTTGTTTTGTATGTCTACTGCTGAATATTACCGACATAGTAGCGTATATTTCACAATTCATGAATCTGCCTGCTTCGTCATGTACTTCATATCCTAGAGCGGCAAAGGAGCAGACGAATAAATATTGTTTAATAGTTTGCAATCGGGGCTGTCCATAGACCTCAGAGGAGTTACTAATGCGTTACGGGCCTTTTGGTGATTGAGGATTTAGGAGGATTCACACTCCGGCAACCTTACGTTATTTCACGTCGGTTTTCTATAGAGGTAGAAAAGAGAACTCAGAGTCGTACCTATTGGGTCCCTATAGGGTCATGGTACGACCTTGATGGAGCTGGCCTGTTCATTCCAATGCATAAACAACGTGTCCTTGACACTTGTATAGACGTGACTGGTAGAGAAAAAGACTGGTGTTGTGGGTGCCCATGGGCGCCGCTGATCGCTTACTATCAAATAATCCGCCTGCTTAATTGCCTTCTGCTCGATAAAAACAGAAGTCTACCTCCTGTAGGTACCATTATTCACCTTTTTGTGTTACATTAAAACAAAAGAAATGAAGTATTATGAATTCAATAGCATTGCACAAGTTTTGGATGTTAAAGGTTATGCATAAAATGCATTTATTATTTTGACTTTTTATTAGCTGCAACCTGTTTTCTTCATCGTCATCAAAGATTTAGTATAAAATAGGGCATTGGTGCATCAAAGTTATCAGTTCTATCTGGAAATTATCACAATGAAACTCGTAAGTTCTTTATAGTATTTTATTATTTTAGTTTTCTGTTTATTTTTGTGTGAAAAATATAATTTTGTTTATATGCTGACTGCCTCTTTGGCCGAGTGGTCGCAAGTGCGACTGCCGGGCAAGGGGTCTCGCGTTCGATTCCCGGGTCGGGCAAAGTATTACTGGGTTTTAAAAAAAATCTCAGTAGTAGCACGGAGTCTGGACTTGTGCCCGGTATATGGCAATAGGCTCACCTCCTATTACATGGGACTGATAACATAAATAGTGAAAAGTGGGTGTTACATTGTACAGTGGCATAATGTGCACCTCTGCCGTTAGGGAAGGGGTACCTTCGGGGATAAAAGGCAATGTTATGTTATGTTAGAATTTGTGTAATATATGGGTGGCGTGCACAACTAAGGCAAAAGGCCTTCGTTCGATATCTTGATAACGAAGCAAGCATACAGTATAAAAAAAAATCTATGAAGGGCTATACAACTGTTTTAGCCGCATGCGGTTAATCGCCCAAACCACACTCCACTCGAGGCGCACGCACTTCAGTCCCAGACGGTGAAACCACGTCTACTATTTTCAATCCTTATTACTACAACTAATGCCCGTTTTCACCAACTGCTCCTAAATTTTACGGAACCCCTAAGCTAATATAGGTGATATTTAAAGATATTTTGGATTTCACTAATGTATAAGTGACTCTTAACAGTACAAGTATGAGGTTAGTTCAGGTGCTACGCCACGTAAAGATTTTGTTACATCTATGATTTTTAAAAGTCCCAGAAGAAACTGTAAATGCAACATCTTGTATTCGTCTTCTTGTTGCACAAAGTGATTGCAAATCATCGCGGTTTAATATACCTCTAGTGTGGTAAGGGTTGAATACTTTTTGAATTTCTGTTTCTTTCGCAGTTTGCCTTCATCACTTTGTTCGTGTGCGCCATGTTGGCTCTGGTCAGCGGTGGTGACGTGCACTACAGACAGGTGCGCAGCCCAGTGCCAGTCGAGGACGCAGCGCCAGCACCGGCACCTGACCATTACGGATATGGTCATGGACGCTAAAAAATAAACAAACTTGTTGCTTTTTAAATTGGACTTTTGTTTTGCGATTATTAAAATGTAGTTTGGCAGTTTATTTTGTGGTTTTGTTTTTTATTTAGTTTTCCCTGACCTTTCTAATATGAATATGTCACTAGATTCTATACCAGTCGTAGATTTTAGTTCTACAGTCTACACATAAATATAATAAAACAGCAAAGGACACGTAGGTGACATAAAATATTTCTCAATAAAAAAGAAATCAGAAATAAAACAACCTATTTGAATATTTGTGTTTATGTTACTGTAAAAGCTCGAACTGCATTAAATCCTAAGATATTCCAGTAAAACCTAAGATTTACCAATTCCTAATGGTAAATGTCCAAAAAGATTTGCGATTCGAACTTTTACCACCACTCCGTTGGTAAATCTTAGGATTTACATCAATGGCATGTTAAATTTTGAAAAACAAAACATATCATAAGGACTTGTAGCTTGCCGCCCCCGTTACCCGCGCACCGTCTCCGCCACTCCGCTCGCCTCAGTCGCTCGTTTGACACGTTAGAATTGAATTAGCACCATAAATTGATTTTTAATTATATTTTTGGGATTATATGGGACTAATTGCCATGTAATGGGACCCCCAATTACATGGGACTAATAACATAAATAGTGAAAAATGGGTGTTACTTCTGTGTTACCTCTGCCTACCCCTTAGGGGATAAAAGGCGTGTTGTTATGTTTTGGTGTTTAAAAGTTATATATAATAAATATATTTATAAGTGAATAAAAATGAGTATGAAGCAAAGACTTTATGAAATAATGGACGAAATTGTGGCAAACAAGAAAAATAATGACTTTTATTTCGATAAGGACAAATATGCTAAGTGTTTAGAGGAAGTAAAAACTGCAAAAAACATTATAAACAAGGAACATTAAAGAGAATGGTCTTTTAGGAACCTTACCGATTAGGTAATCAATTACATTTGATTGTCTTTTTTTACTTTTAAACCAAATAATAAGAAAAATAATAATTAAGTTAGACTAGCTTTTATAAGCGTTATGTTTGTTTCGTTTTTAAATTCCAAATAGAGAAGTACTGATTCAGTTAGATAGATATGACAGAGTTTGAGATATTCAGATATATACCTACGTTATGTGTTTTTTTCAAAATAATATACCTCTAAGTTGATATTAGTTTGTACTTGTGACTGTCATTATGATATCTTTATAATACCCTTTATAGTACCTGTTTTGTCTGATAGTTCAAAGTAAATAATTAAGAATTACTCATTGTTTTATGCCTAAAACCAACATTTACCAGCTGACAGTGGTAAAACGCAGCATATACTGAGTTCGAGTGGTAAAAGCTCGAAAAAATCATCGTATCTTCAGAAATACTTACATTTACCAACTCATGTCGGTTTACACATACCAGTCTTGAAACTAAATGGATGAATTCTAAGGTGGCTCTAATCGTTCTTTTTCCTATACTAATTTCAGGATGGGGGGAGGAGGGGGATTCACCATTGTTTGCCATCATTCATCAAAAACTAGGCATGATATTGTATTATGTCATCATAATATTTGGTGCGGCTTTTTATAAATTGTAGATAATAAACCACTAAAAGTCATTAGAAAACAAAGAAAACAAAGTCTTGTGTTTTCTTGCTAATTTTAGCGCATTTTTGGGTGCAAATAAATAACAAAAAAATTGTGGAATCCCCAAAACGAAAACTGTAACTTGTTTTTCTGTTTGTTCACCGATTACTCCGCCATTTGTGAATCGAACTCCCGAAAAGTTTCCATTTTCATCAGGTCAGGATCTGGTCATGTAATCCTAGGGAAATCGAAGAAAACTTGCGAAAATTGTACGGACGAGTAATGTGTCTATTATAACATAACATAACATAACGCCTTTTTATCCCCGAAGGGGTAGGCAGAACAGCACATTACAGCACTTAATGCGAATGTAGAATGTAACACCCACTTTTCACTATTTATGTTATGAGTCCCATGTAATAGGGAGTGAGCCTATTGCTATAATACGGGCACAATTCCAGACTGAGAATGTCGAAAACTCTGTAATACTTTTCCCAACCCGGGAATCGAACCCGAGACCCTTGCCCGACAGTCATACTTGCGAAGTTGCGACTACTCAGCCAACGTGACAGTCCATTATGATTTTCAATAAATATTTTTAAACAGTACAATTTGATGAGGGTCTGGAGTCAACCTGATGATGGAGCTGACAGACAGTATAGGGAACTCCTCAACGGCTTATAGTAACTACCTTGTGTATGGGCTTGATTAATTTGTATTGATGAGATTTTTAAATCTATATGGAGTGGGACTGTCATTAAAAAGCAAAAAATAAAACTATTATTCGTATCTACTTATAGTTTACGCACCCACTGATAGGTTAGAACTTGGTGCCATTTTTTAAAGGGGAAATGTCATCGATATACTTCTCCCGCCTGAGTGAGGCGGGAGGAAGTGTTAGACTCTTACTGACTAAAATCAACCCCGTTCCTTCTCCTGCACTTCGAGCCGGTGCTCTGGTAACCTGTTAAGTTCTCCGCGTTCGTTAGTCCGAGGTAGTTAAGGTGGGTAACTATCTGTACTAATAATAGTTATTTATTGCTTTTTAGTTTTTCTTTTTCTTTTTAGTTTTGGGTTTTTTGAAGTCTGATATTTAATAATGAAACAAAATATTTTTTTAACACCAAAGATGAAATCGGTATACTGCAGATATCAATATAGTCTAAACTTTAGTCACTAAAGTATTAGAGCTATTCGATTCAGACTATGTATGTTTGATTATTATATTACTGACATTATAACTTGAGAAAATAAACTATTTGATATATCGGAAACTAACTCTATGAGAGTTCAAAAATTGAGGGTATAAAGGTAAGTAGGTAGAAAATCATGAATTTAACCAAATTATATATTTTATTGAAATTTTGAACATAATTATTCGCAACTATTTAAACAAAGCCTGAAGACATAATCTTTGGAGACATAATTAAGTTTAACCGTGGTATCCGTAGCCATATCCGTAATGGTGATGGTGGTGGTGGTGGTGGGGGCCTGGTGCTGGCGCTACGTCCTCGACTGGCACTGGGCTGCGCACCTGCCTCACCAGCTCCGGTGCTCCACTGACCAGCGCCAACATGGCGCACACGAACAACGTGATGAAGGCAAACTGGGGAAGAAACAGAAATTCAAAAAGTATTCAACCCTTACCACACTATATTAAACCGCGATGATTTGCAATCACTTTGTGCAACAAGAAGACGAATACAAGATGTTGCATTTACAGTTTCTTCTGGGACTTTTAAAAATATTAAATGTGACAAAATATTTGCATGGCGTAGCATTAAACTTAAACTAACCTCGTACTTGTACTGTTAGGAGTTACTTGGTGAGGTCCAAAATGTCGTTAATTATCACCTACATTAGCTTAAGGGTCCCGTAAAATTTAGGAAAGTTTGGTTGGTGAAAACGGGCATTAGTTTAGGCTCATGTTGTATTGCTCATGAAGAACCCCTCTATGGTTCAAAACTAGTAGAGCTTTTCTCAGTATATTCACGTGAGGAACCGGCGATTTTTAGTTAATCTTTTCTCCTTTTACAATTTCTTAGCAGGAAGTAGTTATTCTGTGGTTGCTTTACAAATCTGGACCAGTGTTCAGAATGCAATTGGACTATTCATGTTAATAGTTCTAGTCCTAACGTGAGCAATAAAATTACAAGATTCTCAAGCACTGGTAGCCTCATGGCGAAAATTGTATTCGATCATAGGTTCACACAGATCCTTATAGGTACTTTATGGATACACCATAAGCTCATTATTATCCTATTTTAATCAATCCTTCAATAAATCACTAGTCAGAATAAAACATACAAATTAAATGAATTTTGAGGTACACAAGTAAAGTATAAATCCAAAAGTTTCTTACCAATTTCATGGTTGTAAAGGTATTCAGTGAACTGATGACATGAAGACTAAAATGTTTCTTTATATACTAAAGTTCTAAGAGTAAACAAGTTCCCAGGTACCCAATTAAAGAAGCGACCCTTTTCGAAATACTTTAAATCGACTTATTGTGTATCTATATACCTAAATGCTACTCACCGGTTTTAAGGAAAATATGTGAAAAAATGGTGGTTTATAAGTACTTTGTATTACCTACGTTGTACCTTTTATTCTATGTATGTATTACCATTACGGATGCATATTCAAATACCTTTAACTCGTCGAGTACCGGTTTTGTAGACACAATTATAGAACAATAGGTTGCGGTCACTGGTGACCGCTTGGTGTTTGACAGTTTAAACGAGAAATTCTTGTAAATAAATATATATTTATATATCACTGTTAGTGCAGTGGCTGGGCAACCGGCTGCCACGCAACATGTCGCGGGTTCGATTTCCGCACGGAGCAACTCTTTGGGTAACCCATAAATTGTTGTTCCGGGTCTGGGTGTCATGTGTACGTGAATTTGTAGGTATGTGTGTAAACGCACCCACGACACAGGAGAAAGTCCTAGAGTGAGGTCCAACGTTAAAAAAAACAAAATTGAATTTGGAAACGCCATTGTTGATTTTCTTGAAATTTTGTATTCAGGGGTTTGGGGGTTATTAAATCGATGTATTTATTAATTATTATTATTTTTAAAAAATGTCGTTTTGTCCGTGTTTTTATTGAATAACAATCCTTATTAGATACGAAGCTAAACGCCATTATATTTAAAGTTAAAATAGCTTAGTAGGGAGTGCGGATTCCTGTTCCGCAAGATATTTGAGTTCAAACCTCCGAGGATCGAACATTTCTTTTATCTTTCTATTGTCCTGCACACAATAGAAAGAACATATAAACAAGGTTTTGTACATTGCAAACATGGTGCAAACTCAGAGTACATTCACATTTATGTCTTTCAATGATTCCACAAAAAATATAACTCCTAAATTACTACCATTGTTTGTTAAAAAATTACCTGAATTGACTACTCTATAGTATTTAAACGTTGAAATAAAAACTATTTGTTATTTACCATTTGTTCAATATTAAGCATTACTAAAAACAAAAAGTGCGACTGCCGGGCAAGGAGTCTCGGGTTCGATTCCCGGGTCGGGAAAAGTATTACCTACTGGGTTTTTAAAAAAATCTCAGTAGTAGCACGGAGTCTGGAATTGTGCCCGGTATATGGCAATAGGGTCACCCCCTATTACATGGGACTTATAACATAAATAGTGAAAAGTGGGTGTTACATTGTACAGTGGCATAATGAGCACCTCTGCCTACCCTTTCGGGGATAAACGGCGTGATGTTATATTATGTGTAAAAACAAACTAATCTACAAAGGGATTGAATACGGAATACGCATCAACAATACAGAGACTTTTTTATATTGTTTTGATGACTTTTTTGTGTTTGTAATGTATAGTATTTTTCCTTATTAACCTGTTTATATACGAGTGTTAGAAGTTAACCAATAGACCATGGTTAGGCTAAAAAATTTAACCAGTTGTGGCCTTCGGGTCTAGTAGGTATATAACGCACGTTGAACTAACCCAAACATAGTTCAACTACTTAGAACGTAATAAGACAACATGAAATTCGTAAGTAAACGTTACATTATTAATTTATTGCTTTTAAATTTATTACTTTTTAATGATTTTATTATTAGCCAACTTATATCTTAAGTGCAAAGTCTACACAGTTATAAATAATTAGCAATATATTTTTCATTTTCTCCCTATTTTCTATCTAAGGAATAATAAAAATAAACTATAACTAACTATAACTTAGTTTCTTCTATTTTTATTCTCTATCTATCTGTTTATTAGTTAGGTAAGTAGTTTTTAACACATTTTTCCTTATCTGTTTTGAATTTAGATGATCAAAATATAATAAAATTATTACTTAATACTACTAAGTATTACTTGACTGCCTCGTTAGCCGAGAGGTCGCAAGTGCGACTGCCGGGTAAGGAGTCTCGGGTTCGATTCCAGGGTCAGGCAAAGTAATACTGGGTTTTAAAAAAATTCTCAGAAGTAACACGGATTGTGCCCGGTATATGGCAATAGGCTCACCCCCTATTTCATGGGACTCATAACATAAATAGTGAAAAGTGGGTGCTACATTGTACAGTGGCATTACGTGCCGTAATGTGCACCTCTGCCTACCCCTTCGGGGATTTTGTGTGATGTTATGTGATGTGTATTACTTAAGAAATGTGCATAATTCATTTTAGTAGCTTAAAACATTTTCTAGAAGAAATACTAAGAAGAAGTACTTTCGATTTAAATATTGTTAAAAAGTAATCTTTGAAACAGTGTATCAATGGCGTCATGGTGTATCAGTGTGCCAATGAAAAATGTTGTTTTCTCTTGGACATGCCAAATTTTATTGCATAGATTTTTAAAATTAATAGTACCTATTTATCTACATCTTCTTCTAGTACAGACAATTTTCTCCTCCTATCAATATTTTAATGCCATTTTCCTTTTTCAGTTCGCGCTATTCGCCTTATTCATGTGCGCTGTACTGGCATTGGTCGGTGCGACTCCCGTAGCAGAGCCCGGCCCACAGCCAATCAGGGAAGCTCGCAGCCCTCATAAAAGCCACAAACACCATAAACAACACCACAACTACGGCTATGGATATGGCCACGGACGCTAAAGTTATGTAGAAAGCAACCTTACCACCTTTGTATTAATAATGTGATTCGTTTAGCTTTAGTTTTTAATCTAAATATATTTTGTCAGATTAATTACTTCGTTTTTTATTGTTATTAGCTTTCTGCCCGTAGCCGTAGCTTCGCTTGCGTGGTCAAAAAAAAATTTTTTTTCAGTTACTGAGAGTTGAACTCAGATCTCGTATTGATCCTAATATTATGAAAGCTCTGATCTTAATATTAATCGCGAGTATTGTTAGCGTAGGTTCTGACCTTCGCTAAATAAGCGTAAATTTTTGCGATTTCGAGTTTCTCTTATTATTCATGGGCATATTTGGTGATGCCTACTGTTACATTGGGTTACTAACATAAATGATTAATAACTAATGGATACTATTCTAATTGACAGTAAAGGAAAGCCTTTACGAATACCTAAAAAATGCAAATAAACACATAGTAATTGGTAAAAAAACAATAACTAAAAAATAGACATACATAGTTAATTTATTTAATACACAACATTATTTACAAATTCTTACAAACAGATCATTAAATACTTAGACTATAATTTTATTCTGTATTACGAGGCATGTTTCCATTTTCTTGGTTGTCCATTGTGCTCTCTATTGCCCCCACCGTAACCGTAGCCGTAGCGATGGTGCTGCCCCGGTATCCCACGAGCGACCCTCAACTGTGAATCATGCGCATTCAGCTTGGCAGCCGCCATCGACAAAATGGCGAACACTAGAACTGCGAAGATTGTAAACTGAAAAAGGAAAAAAGTGGTTGCATTATAAAATGACTCATGACTTATTTGATTTAAGATATAATCTTGTTTGCATATTTTTGTAAGTGTAGTGTTATGTCGTATTTGCATTGTAATACGAATGATTTTAAGATGATTCTTTATGGTTGTGGGATCAGGACTTCATGTTTTAACAGATAGATTAAATTATATCAATTTTACAACGACACTTTAAAGCAAAGAATATTTTTAACCTGTTAACCGGAACGCAGATCTTCGCGAGACATAATGGGTTTTCTATTGTCTCATTTATCGACAAACAAGAGGTTAAACCGGTAAACGTGTTTTTATGCGATCTTTATATACTCATTTTATTCTTTGCTATGTTTCAAATAATGGGTGCACAAGCGAAGACGCCACATGCGTGATGACGCATAATTTTTTGTTTGGATAGATACATCTCATGATGATGACATGATATACTGACAAGCTGGACATTTAATCAAATTGTATGATAAAATAGTGAATATTACAGATGCCAATGTTTGTGAGGATGTATAGATATATTATTACTCCTACGTGAAAAAACTACTGAATGAATGTTAACTATAAATAATAGTCGATAATAACCTATAGGCTGTTTCGCTGAGTTATATCGCAGTAAGGCGTGGGAGTAGCTGGAAGAAGTTACAGTATGTAGGTGCAGTTATTAGTTAAATATATTATATTGTAACTTTCGTGATACATACTAAATTAATTATTAAGTTTTCGGCTTTCTCACGTAGGTAACTGTTTGATGAGGAACTCGACTACTTTCAAGCCGTGCAAGAGGCTCATATTCATGAGCATTCTGCAATTCCGAAACTAGTCGAGTTCCTCGTCAAACCGAGACCAACGAGCAGACGGATTATCTGATAGTAAGTGATCAGCGCCGCCCATAGACACCCGCAACACCAGAGGAGTCACAGGTCCGTTGCCGACCTTTTAAAACGGAATACGCTCTTTTCTACTCATACGTGCGTAAGCCAATAATATAATATGTTATTATGTAAGTCTTATAATAAGTAGATACTTATATAAATACTCACGTATTTCATTATTGTAGTTGTTCAATATACTGCAGAGTATTATAAATTTGATGATATTTATATGCTACAAGTGAAGGTCATCGCTTTTTATCCTCATGTTATTCCAAAAGTCTTTATATCTTGTATCGATCTTATTTACCCTAAACATATTGAAGTACCTATACTATATATTAACTTAGGATCCTTTTTACCTGAAGTTCATATTATTGTAACTAAATGAAATGATGATGTATGTATTTCTTTATTTATGCTGCTGTGTTTTAAGTGTTTATTCATTTGAAGCCAAATACCGGGAAATCATGTGTGAGTAAAGTTAATTATATGTTCCTAAACATCTACTATTGTAATATTGTAATCTACTAAAATATTTTTTTTCTTTTAGTTTTTATGGCATAAGCCGGCAAACGAGCAGACGGATCACCTGATGGCAAGCAATCGCCGCTGCCCACGGACACCCGGAACACCAGAGTTACAAGTGTATTATCGGCCTTTTGGGGATTAGGAATTTGAGGATTGTTGGGATTCAGGGATTGGGTGATTGGGGAGGGGGGGGGGGTAATTGGGTCTACGATGACCTCATCCATACGACAGAACACAACGTAAGCATTGTTTCTCGTCGGTTTTCTGTGAGGCCGTAGATATTACTCCGGACGAGCCGGACTAAGCATGGCTCTCCCACACTTTAAAAAGAAAAACTATGTATGGTTTCCCCACTTGACCAACAAGAGAATTTAAAGTTAAAAACAAATAACAACTCGTAAAAATATAACTTTATTTTTGAATACATAGTGTATTAGTATTACTTCTGAAACAACTTAAATGTATAATACAAAAAAACCATTACGTCATTCTATTCATAATGGATTATTTAACCCTTATAGCCGTACCCTCCATGCCCATGGCTTTGTTTGCCCTTGTGGCTTCGAGCTTCTCTGACCAAGGGATGTGTGCTATCATGTTCGGGCTCCGAGACTGGAAGTCCACTGACCAGTGCAAGGACGGCGCACAGCAAAGCGAATAGGGCCAACTGAAAAAATAAGAAAATATAAACATCAACTGAGCAAACATAATTACCTCTATACTTCTAATATGATGATTTGCCTATTTGAGTGTGGTGTAAGCTAATCACTACATAGTATAAAACAACTGCCTCCGCAAGTGCGACTGCTGGGCAAGAGGTCTTGGGTTCAATTCCGGGGTCGGGCAAAGTATTATGGGTTTTTTAAATTCTCAATAGTAGCACGGAGTCTGAAATTATGCCCCGTATATGACAATAGGCTCACCCCCTATTACATGGGACTCATAACATAAATAGTGAAAAGTGGGTGTTACATTGTACAGTGGCATTAAATGCTGTGACGTGAACCTCTGCCGACCCCTTCGTATAAAAAGGCGTGATGTTATATTATGTTATGTTATAAAACAAAGTTGCTATCGGCCGTCTGTCTGTCCCTATGTTTGCTTAGATCTTTAAAACTACGCGACGAATTTTGATGTGTTTTTTTATAGATAGAGTGATGAGACATGCATATTGCACCCGTGCGAAGCAGAGGCGGGTCGCTAGTAAATAAGCCATCAGGTGGGCTGTGTGCATTTCAAGCAAGGATACAAGCATCCATAATTCTCTTTGACTTTTGGTAGATTTGTCCTCTGTTTAAGGAAGATACTTTTAGCATAAATCTTTTTCAATACATCACATTGAAATTTCTGTTGTTAAATGTGAAATATTAACGTTAGGTATAATATAAATGTTTCACAATATCTTTGATTCTATCAAAAAGTCTGTTCAGAAGAAGCAAATTGTTACTCTATGTTTTTTAAGCTCAAAATGATTTAAGGGATGGATGCGTCTTCGACTATAATATTAGCCCTTTGTAATAAGGTTAACAAGTATTTCAGATTTCGTGTTCAAAAATAAAAGACCCAATCCACATTGACTATTAAATTAATGTAAAAAGAAAAAGAATATCTGTGATAGCTTCCAATAAGTATTTTTTATGAAATTTAGTATTAGGATCACAATCACTCCTTAGAAATGGTCTGGTACACTACCCAAAACGTTTTTTACCTTAACAAGTAATCACTTTCTTTTAAATATTTATTTTTAAAAAGCAATGCCCTTTGAAACCTTTGAAAAATTTAAAAAAAAAACTTTGAAAATATAAAATATAAATAAAATGAAATGAATGACTTACGAATTTCATGTTGAGTTTTGTTCAAATCCTGAAGAACGATGCGTTTCTGGTCAGATAGTCGCCTATTTATAATTACATTGTCAAGGTTGCTGTAACAATTAAAAATCTACATTATAGATAGTGAAACAAAAAGCCACATACAAAAAGGTTAAGCCCCATTTACATGATACAAGTTTCTTGTCTATTGCACACTTTTAAGTGTGGGAGAGCCATGCTTCGGCACGAATGGGCCGGCTCGACCGGAGTGATACCACGGCCTCACAGAAAACCGACGTGAAGCAACGCTTGCATTGTGTTTCGTCGCGTGAGTGAGGTTACCGGAGGCCCAATTTCCCTCCCCTTCCCCAATCTCCCCAATCCCTGAATCCCCAACAATCCTCAAACTCCTAATCCACAAATAGCCGGTAACGCACTTGTAACGCCTCTGGTGTTCCAGGTGTCCATGGGCGACGCCGATTGCTTTCCATCAGGTGATCCGTCTGCTCGTTTACCGGCTTATGCCATAAAAAAAAAAAAAAAAAATAAACACTGCGTAAATTGTTGATCTATTTATACACGTTCTTATTTCAAATATTTCTTTGTGTATTAATAGTCAAAAAATACTTTTTTTTCCTTTTTGGCAACCGAGTCTCAAATACGATGTTGTCGACTATACTGCCAGTGTCGAGCAGCTCAAAATAATAGGGTAGATGACAAATTTTTAATTTAATGTCAGTCTGGCAGATTGTTTTAAAATTAAGGACCCGTAATTTTTCTCTGAAACGAATACTTTCGTTGATAATTGATTTGAAATAACGTATGACGTCACTTCTAGATAGGTTTTATACGTAGAAATGATGTAGGTACTTAGCTCCCACCCCTATACTTTGATAAATTTTATCTAAGTACCTACAATTTTCTTATGCGACAAAATAAAAAAAAATACGTGTCTAATATTTTTTCATTACTTAACTGACGGATTAAATAGATTTATAATTTTTATATTCCGTCATTCTATCATTTCTATTTTTTAAAGTCGATAATTGCAGTACATTTATTGAATTAATTTAACAATGAATCAATGCTCTGTAGTGTAGAAGAAAATGGTCAAAGTCAAAAGTCAAAATCATATAATATTTCAATTAGACCAGAAAGGTACTTTTGAACGTCAACCTAAAATTATGGTATTGTGTAAATAAGCCTTAATTTTATAAGAAACACAATACAACAACGATACAAGCTTCATAACATAACATTAAACATACAGTTGTTACAGTAATGTAGGTAAACATGCAATTTTGTTTTTTTTCCTCTAATTTTTAATTGCGTTGTAGGTAAAAACTAGCACGCCAATTTACAATGGTTTTCTTTAAAATAAAATTTGCCTCATATTAGAATTTTCTCCTGTGTCGTGGGTGCGTTTACAAACATACAAGTTCACATACACATGATACCCAGACCTGGAACAACAATCTGTGCATCACACAAAGAGTTGTTCCGTGTGGGAATCGAACCCGTGGGCAGCCAGTTGCCCAGCTACCGCGCCAACCGTGCAGTCTTAGAAAAATATATCTTGTTTTTATAATAATTATTGAAAGACTTACAAAATTAACTAAAAACCACTCAGTGGTTCGAAACTAGAGGTAGTAGAGCTTTTCTCAGTATATTCACGTGAGTAACCCGCGATTTTTAGTTAATATATCTTGTAATTACCTTTTCATTTATTTGTTTTTATTGATTTCTTATTCATTTTGAATTGACTAATAGTTAAGTGTACTCTCATGTCATGATCGAAAAACTAATGAATGAGAATTAGGCTGCTTTTCCACGGAAGCTGAGCTCGACCATCGTTTTTGTCTCTGCATCACCCAAAGGTCTGGCTGGAGGAGAATGCCCTAGGCATTAAGCCCACCTTGTACATAAGTTTGTGCATGAAGTCTTTTAAAATAAATAAAAATAAAAATATCTCCCTAAATAGTTAGGAATCCTCAAATACCTAATCCCCAAAAGGCCGGTAACGCACTTGTAACGCCTCTGGTATTCCAGGTGCCCATAAGCGGCGCTGATTGCTTACCATCAGGTGATCTGTTTGATCGCTTATCGGCTTATCCCATAAAATGAGGCTTTCAGTTAGTACTAAGAACATAGATATAATATTTTTGTGACTAAGAACTTTAGAAAAACTGAAAAAAATTAAGACATAAAAAATAATAAACAATATTGATCACTTCATATTTGTGCCAAATATTTAATTATTATATGGAATAACAGTTATTCATAGATTGTATTTAGTAATTTATCTATTACCGTAAGATTATTGCTGATTGACTTATTTTAATTAATTATTAATGACATTTGTTCTTGAATTTTATTCATGGGCACACCGGTTTCATACCAGGCCTATAACTATAGGTATATAAAGGCTTATTTTACGCCATTTACAATATTGTTTCACAAAGAACACACAATTATAAAAATCACAATGAAATACGTAAGTTTTTTTGTTAATAGTAATATTAATTACATTTAGCCCTCATTTACAATTATCACAATATATTCACAGATTTACACATTCATCTATTTTAGTAGTCTGTATAATAAAATCTATACAAGCAAGCAACGAAAAGGAACAAATAAAATGTATAATATGCGTGTTAGTTCGTTAAGTTCCAATTTCAAATCAAAGTTCAAATTTTTTTAATTAGATATTGGTTCTATGTAGAGGTAGATGTGATTCGGGCTACTTCTTAATTGTAAAAGAATGGCACCAGATTTCGCTCAAAAAACCAACGTTATGTTTCAGAATATAATAAATTTATCTTTTAGCTAAGTTACGTTTAAGTCACCACTTATTACGGAGCCACGAAAGACTTGACGGATTGCCGAGACTCCGGCTCCGGCAGGCATAGGTTTTTTTAAGGGGGGGAAAATCATCGGCATATCAAGGGCATAGGAATAGGGTGGTTTTTAGTCAGTAAGAGTCTAACACTACCTTTCGCTTCACTCAAGGTGGGAAACATCATTGGATGGTTTACCCCCTTAAAAAACCCACCGCTTTTTCTCATAAACTTTCACATTTATAACAAAATAATAATAATGTAATTTTTTTTCCAGTTCGCAATCGTTGCTTTGTTGGCGTGCGCCCTGATGGCGATGGCCGGTGTATCAGCTCAAGTGCTCAAGGCCCCAGTTGCCGGTACTCCAGTGCTGAGGATGATCCGCAGCCCCTACGGCTACCAGAAGGAACACCACCATCATCACCACCATAACTACGGTTACGGACACTACTAAACAAATCCTAAGATAGTTCTTTGAGTGCAATTTAGTTATAAGGCATAATAAACTTTATTAAAACATCTGTTAGTTTTATTTTTGTGTATCGTTTTGTTGTAATCCCTGAAAACTGTGACTCAGTTATAAACTGAGTCTTTTATTGTCCACTAGCTGTTGCCCGTGACTTCGTCCGCGTAGAATAATGACTTCTGGCAGAATTTATGCTTTTGAATTAGTCTTTATCAAGGGATATACTACAGTATCGAATGTCGTCGGAATTGATTAAGTACCTAGTATAGGCTCCTCCCTCATAGATGATAGCGTGATAATATGTAGCCTATGCATTGACCCGACCTGTCTCTGACCTGTCCCTGACCTGTCTGTGACCTGTGTGAATATTCATGCAATATTTGAAATAAATCTATGCAGTACTTTTTGTGATCATCCCGGACATACATACAGACAAACATACAAAATACAAATATGTATAGACTAGTAAGGAAATCTGCAAAGGGAATTAAGAATTATTTTGGAGTCCAATATAATATAGATAAAGTCGAATAATACATTTTCATAAGTAACTTTCTAACTTAACGACTTACCTAGGAACGAGTAGCTGTCGAAAGCTAGCGCAAAATAAATCTAAACAAAAGATCGCAATATTTAGTCACTGTTTAGTTATTCAAGATTCATCTGGTGTACTTAGAACATATTAACTAATACGAATGCCTATATCCTAAGGTAGGCACTAGTCTAAGCAGCCATGTATGAGCACTGCAAACTAGTGTAACTGTAAAAACTGTAGTAATCGAGCAGGAATGACAAGCTAATCTTAGCTTGACACCTCCTGAACTCAAAGTAACAATTAGTTCAATGTATTGTTTAGATTGATGATAAAATTCAGGTTAACTTACAATCGACTGACTTGGAAGACTTTAGGAAGGTTGTGGCAACATATAGTCTAAAAACAAAAATTACTTTAAATTACTAAAAATATATAAGGTTAACTTTTTGCTAATTACGGAACTAAAGTCTGAGAACATTTGATTAACACA